CGAAGCTCAGGCTCAGGGGGGAAGGAGCCGTCTGGGTCTGGGTCTGGGTCTGGGTTGCTGGGCTTTTCCAGGCGGGGCAGACGCGAGATGGTGCAGAATCCCGAGTCCAGGCCTAGAGGAGAAATGGAAGCAGGTCAGAGCTGGGAGCAGGACGCGGGGAGGGAGGGCCAGGAGGACGAGCCTGGCTGGCTGTGTGGCCTCTAGTAAGCCACTCCCCACTCTGTCCTGTTTCACCCCTCTTCCCGATATGGGGGAGCCCTTGCCATCCTGCCCCCTGTTCCCAGTATGCAGAAAACAGGCTGTTTGGGGAAAGAAAGGTTTTGCCCAAGGCCACAGCAGAAGGGTGGCGCTCCGATCTCCTGAACTTAGTCGCGGTCCCCAGGTACCCTGCTAGGACACTGGCAAACGGCAGCAGGTGAACCCACACCAGGAGGCTGGTTTGTGGGACACAGGATGGAACCAGCAGCCAGCAGGTGACTGCATGGACTGGCACATGCCCTTCAAAGGTCATCTGGTGGAGCCCCTGCCTCCAGCACTTGAGCATGAGGGTTCGTGTGGACCAGTCCTTGGTGGGGTTCGGAGCAGCACCCCCACCAACAGGCAAAGCCACGGGCAAGGCCTGGCCACCAGGTGGCAGCAGGGGCCCACACTTCCCAGGTGAGCGGTTCCTTGCAGCGTGGCACTTCCGTGAGAGCAGTTTTGCAAATTCATCAAGTTACAGGAATTTTGGTTTAAGTAACATTAATGGCTCAGGTGTCCTGAGCATCTACTGTGTGCCAGCTCTCATTTCACCTGGCACATGGATGATTTCACTGAATCCCAGCCACACTGCCAAGGGACTCATTAGATGGGCAAGGACTTGAACTTGGGTCAGTGGACTTCCTAGGCATCAGGCAGAAACAGGTTCTCAGCCTCTCCATGACACCATTTTGACAGTAGGGGGCTGCTTTAGTTAAAAGGGGAAAGAAAGGGTAGATAGGCCCAACCAGGGCCCAGAGAGGGAGAAGGGCTTGTCAGAGTCACACAGCAAGCAAAGGGCAGTAGGAACTGAAAGTGCTTCTCCCTCTGGACCAGTGTGTGTGTGTTGGGGGGGGGGGGAGTAGTGGCAAGTCGGTTCCCACCGCCTTAGTCCTCCCCACCCTGGGAAAAGGGCTCACTTGGAAGTTTTGGTTAGAGCCAACAACCTTCTGGGCCTCTGCATTAGAAAAGGGCAGATAGAGCCAAGAATGGTGGTGCACCCTGTAATCCCAGTGACTTGGGAGGCTGAGGAAGGAGGATCTCAAGTTTAAGGCCAGCCTCAGCAACACAGTGAGGCACTCAGCAACTTAGTGAGACCCTGTCTCAAAAATTTAAAAAATTAAAATGGCTGGAGATGCAGCTCAGTGGTTAAGCTCCCCTGGGTTCAATCCCTGGTGACAGAGAGAGAGAGAGAGAGAGAGAGAGAGAGAGAGAGAGAGAAGGGGCAGTTACCCAGGATCTCACCGTAACTGGAGCGGCCATCTGCGGAGCCCGTGGGGCTGCCATCGAAGCTGAGCTTGCCCACCACCAGGCTGTCGTAGGTGGCCTGGTTGAGCTGGGGCAGGGAGATGGCGTTCTTGATGATGGGGGAGATGGCTGGGGGAGCCGGCGAGGGTGCTGGAGGGGATGCCATCCTTCGGGGTGGCACCCCCACCCTCCGCACCTGCTGGAGCTTTCTGGCTAGGAAGCTGCGGGGCGAGCGGTGGGTGCCCCCAGAGCTGCCACCATGGTTGCTGAGGAAGGAGGTGTCACCGAAGACGTCCCCGCCGCGGCCCACGTGCATGGTGTGGCGGAAGTCCCCGAGCGGGGGGCTGATCATGTCTGCCGTGAGCCGCCTCTTTCCCTGGGAGCTGGACACCCAGCCCACGGGTGAGAGCTTGCCCAGGCTCATGGTGGGGGCTCCTCCGCCCCCCTGGGGGCCAGGCATGGGCTCTGGCAGCTCAGGGCTGCTGGTCCATGCCCATGGGGGCTGGGCTCAGGGCCCCCTTCTCAATGGCAGGGGGTGGCCCTTGGCCCTGGGAGTCCACGCTCTCCCAAGCCCTGGGGGAGCAGCTGCAGACGGTCCTGCCGGGTCCAGGAGCAAAGAGGCACAGACCTGGCCTCAAAGGTGGGTGGTCCCTCTTCTGCTCAGGGATGGAGACCTGGAAGGAGGACAGAGGACAGTAACGCGATGTGACAATGTGACGGCAGGCCTCGTGCAGACGAGGAAATCCTGGGTCCAAACAAGGGCCCAGAAAACAAAGGACAACTCCCCACCACACAGATGGAGGTCACCAACCCAGGGCTGAGCGGAAGCTGGGCACAAAGGAGGGACACGCCGTGGGGGTCCACGCAGAGGAATCCCAGATGGGCAGAGGAGTCCGAAATGCTGTCCTGGCGTGGGTGCTGGCGCTCCAGGCCCAATCCCACCAAGCTACAGGCTGCCCGGTGCGCTGGCACAGTGGCCGCTGCCCAGGGCCGGAGGTGCCAGCGCCTGCCCCGCCGCAGTCACTTAACCCACACCACAGTGCCCAGCAAGGCATGGCATTCAAAGGGGGAAAATGAGGCAGGGGCCATGAGCCATCTACACTGCAGGGAATGGTGGCACAGGGCCCATGTCCCAGTCCTGGAGCAAGACACCTCCTCGGGGCTAAAATCTCTTCCACCCCCAGAAGCAGGGGGAGGAGGCCCATCACGTTAGTGCTGCTGTGTAAACAGCAGCCCAGAGGTCCCTCGGGACTTGTGCCTTCCCCGTGCTTCCTGTAAAAGGGGTTCCTGGTCAGAGTGGCTTTTCCCAGCGCCTCCTGAAGGCTGAGCAGGACCCAGCCAAGGGCTTGATGGGACAGGCCGCCAAACGGATGTAGGAGTCAGGGAACAAATTTTGGCTGCCCCTCAGCAGGTGCCCAAAGCTATTCCTTCCCCCCTTCCTGGTCCCCACGCCACCCTCCCCAGCGCCCCTTCTCTAAGCATCCCTTGAAGAGGCCCCTCACAGAAAGTCCCGCTGGAAGACGCCAGGATCCTGGTCTGACATCTGTCTCTCCCGTGGCCCAGCGGAGGCCAAGCCCACTCCAGGTCGCATGCAGAGAGCCAGTCGGGACTTGAACCCAGGGCTCCGCCTCACCTAAGCCCTGGGCTGGCCCGAGGGGGCCCGCCAGTCTGGTTCCTACTTCCGGGGAGGGCGGGCACCTGCCTGGATTTTCCTGCCTCCCTCTCGTCCTCCCTCCCAGCCTGGGCACTGCACGTGGCAAGGGCCAAATCAAGACCAGTTTGATCCCAGATCCCAGCGATAACCTCCAAGCTCAAGGGCCACCCCCTCCCCCAGAGGGAGGCTGGGACTCAATGTCCTCACCGTGTGACCTTGGGCAAGTCACTTACCTCCACAGACCCAGGACCTCAGCTGATAAAGCTGATAACCATCTTTGGCGAGAACACCTGGACCGAGGCTCGGTGCCCACCCCCTACCATTTTGTGCCACCTCTGAGCGTGAAAACCTCGACACCGCCCTTGTATGTTATTTGAAATTCAAAATAGGTTAAATAACAAGATAAAAGACAAAGAGGACACGGGACAAAGCTCGCTTTGTTTTCTGACTACATTCTATTCCCTTCCCACCCTCTGACCCTCCCCCAGCCCTGGCTCCTCCCCCCGGGGGGGACTTCTGAATCATCCCTGGCCCTGGCACCCCCGGCACCGAGAAGTCCCGGCGGAATGTTTGCTCAAGTTATGAAGCGCCCCGCCGTTGGCCAGCCACCCATGACGTCATCCGGCTCTCCGCCAGCCCCGCCCGCCAGCCTGGGGGGTGGCCTGCGCTACAGGGAGGGCGGGTCCCCAGGGGAAAGACCCGTCCAAACTCACGTGGCAGGTACGAGGCAGGGGCCAGGTTCCCTGCTCCAGAGATTAAGGATGAAGTCTTTGGGGGGAAGGAACTAGCTGGTGGGGGGGGGGAAGACGCCACCCGGGGAAATGTCATGTGGAGGAGTCGCAAGTGTCAGCCCTGTGGCCACACCCACCTCACGCCCACCCCGACTCCCAGCTTCTGGGGCAGCCCCTGTTCTCCCAGCAAAAGGGGCTCCTGCCCCCGCTCAACCCCATGGTCATTCTGACTGGGAGACCAGCTTCCTTCCCAATCTTGCCAGGGTCCCACTTCCTGAATGCTTTGGGACAGCTCCAAATAGTGCTCCTACCTTTAACCCTGCCTGCTGCAGAGAGTCCCTGCCCTGCTCCGAGGGCGTGGCGCAGGGGACTGACCTTCCCAGGTGGAAAATGGAAACTGCATCCCAAGCGGGGTCTTCCCAAAGGAGGGGGGAGATGTGGAAAGGCCACTCCAGAAGCAGAGTGGCCCTGGGTTCAAATCTCACACCTTTAGGCTAACATCTTCCATCCTAGGGACACTTGGTGGCAGTCACTTGGCACTTGATGCTGATCACAGGCGTTGCTGGCCCTCAGGTGTGCCTCACCAGGTACTGGAGTAAGCAGGACACTGGGTATCCTGGTGGAAGACCTTCCTATCGGCCACCCAGGAATACCACATACCCATTATGCAGATCAAAAAATGAGGCTCAGAAAGGAGAATGACTTACCTCAGGTCACAGAGCAAAAAAATAGTGTGTCTGGGCCTGGCTAGGAGTCTCCTGACCACAGGAAATGGCCAAGGTTGGGGTGAAGACTGCTGGGGAGCGGTGGTTTGCCAGGCTGCCCAGCACAGAGAGGGCAAGTGTGAGGGGGTAGGAGACTCAGCTCTGCAGATTCAGTGCCTGTGACCTGGGTCCGAGTGGTCACCATGCAGCCTCAGTGAACCCAGAGGCCTCATATTTACCCTGCAGACTTCACTGGGGGCCTGGGCACGTGGTCAGGGCTCACTACATAGTAAGGACCACCAGGACAAGTTTTGGGGCTGGGGGATAGGGACCACACACTGGGACAGGCCACAAGAGGTCCAGAGGAGGCCAGGACTGCTCTGACAGTGGAGGGCAATGGGCGGGGGCAGTAGCATTCTGGGGGTCACCAACAGGCTGCACCCTGTCCCTCCCCCCACTCCCTGAGGCAGCGCCACGTCTCATCCTGAAGGCCACTGCTCCCTGCAGGAGCCCTCTCTCCAAGGGCGTCCTCGCACTGGGTAACACTGCCAGACTGGCCTGCATGTCCCAGGCCTGAATGGGGGCTCCCGGAAACAGGCTCTGGTGCCTGAGGAGGGTGAGGGGCTGGCATCTCCTGCCGCTCAAAGTTCAGGAGCTTAGAGGTGGAAGATAGGGACACGGAGACTAGAAAAGGACAGCCAACTGCCGGTGGTCAGCTGTGGGGGACCACTCCAAGCCGGATAGAAGGGAACACCCTGGGTCCTCAGGGAGGAACCACCGAGGGGGAAGGAGAAACGCTTTTCTGGTCCCACCATCCCAAGACAGAGCCCAATCAGCCCCGGCCGCGAGCGAAACCGCGGCGGGATGGTGATTTCCCGCCAGCCTCGGCGCCTCCCTGAGCCTCAGTTTCCTAGTCTTGAAAATGGGCTTCAAACTTCGCGGGACTGGAATGGCTGGAGTAAGGCAAAAACCATCAGGAGGCAGGCGGAATGGGAAATCCGGGAAGGACTTACTATAAAACCTTCCCCCTGGGGGACGGGGAGGGGAGAAGAGCAGGGTCGCCTTGGCCAGAGGGGAACCGGACGGGATGACCTCATCCGCTGCTCCAGCTTGGAATGCGGCGGCTGGGGAGGGGGCAGGGTGCCCGGTCCGTCTGCCCGGACCCCACCAACTTCCCGCTTTCGGCGCTGGCCTGCGCCCAGGGGCCCGACGCCCCACGTTTCGCCCCCTTCCTCTCCCGGCGCGGGACGCAGATGGCCCTCCGCGCGTCCCTCTCCTGGCAGCGCCTTTTGCCTCTCGCCGCTCCCATTCTCTGTCCCCCTTCGCCCGCCGGGAACAGGGCAAAAGCACCCGAAAACTCGAAGCGTCCGGGCCGCACCGCCGCAGCACCAGGGCCTTGGCATTGCCATTGGCACGGGACGCGCCTTCCGCGGCCGGGCTCGGTCCCCGCCCTCCCCGAGCTCCTAGAAGAGTGCAGCGTCCCGAGGCCGTCGCGGACCCAGGCGGGTCTTCGAGGCCCCGCGGGCCAGC